AGTGGTTCGAAAATAGGAGCGAGTTCGATAATAGGGACAAAGTTGGTTCGAAAAAGGGGTTCTATTTTCGAAGAGTTCAATAAGCGATACGTTCGAAATTTGAGGTTCCACTGTGTATATATATTGGGAGATGACTTGCTGTCAGAGTAAGAACAGGCCAACACGTTTGAAGTGATTCAGGGCAAACCAGTTATCCGGACTTGAATTCTCAAGATGGGAAGTACAATGTCTTTTTTTTTGTTTTTTGTAATTCTGAGTTAAAAAAAATCGGGTACCTATTTTATGTACCCCTACAGGGATACCTGATGACCACCTTCCAGTATAGTATAGGCTTTATACCTAGCGGTAGGATTGCTGGTTTCTTTTTCTGTCTCATAAACACGCTAAGATAACAGGGATATCTTGCTACTCCTACTTACACTTTGGTCACACTTCACAGACACGCACATGCATATATATATATATATACATACATCTAGGTTTTTCTCCTTTTTCTAAATAGCTCTTGTTCTTTTTTATTTCTTCTATTGTCCATGGGGAAGTGGAAAAGAATCTTTCCTCCGTAAGCCATGCGTGTCGTATGAGGCGACTAAAATGCCGGGAGCAATGGGCTAGTAACCCCTTCTCCTGTATACAATTACTAAAAAAGAGAAGAAGAAAAACTTTATAAAACTGGGTTGCTTAAATGTGCGTGGATGTAGTGCGGATGACAAGAAACAGATGATTGCTGATGTTATGAATGAAAAGAAGTTGGATGTCCTGGCCCTAAGCGAAACAAAGCTGAAGGGGGTAGGAGAGTTTCAGTGGGGGGAAATAAATGGGATTAAATCTGGAGTATCTGAGAGAGTTAGAGCAAAGGAAGGGGTAGCAGTAATGTTAAATGATCAGTTATGGAAGGAGAAAAGAGAATATGAATGTGTAAATTCAAGAATTATGTGGATTAAAGTAAAGGTTGGATGCGAGAAGTGGGTCATAATAAGCGTGTATGCACCTGGAGAAGAGAGGAATGCAGAGGAGAGAGAGAGATTTTGGGAGATGTTAAGTGAATGTATAGGAGCCTTTGAACCAAGTGAGAGAGTAATTGTGGTAGGGGACTTGAATGCTAAAGTAGGAGAAACTTTTAGAGAGGGTGTGGTAGGTAAGTTTGGGGTGCCAGGTGTAAATGATAATGGGAGCCCTTTGATTGAACTTTGTATAAAAAGGGGGTTTAGTTATAGGTAATACATATTTTAAGAAAAAGAGGATAAATAAGTATACACGATATGATGTAGGGCGAAATGACAGTAGTTTGTTGGATTATGTATTGGTAGATAAAAGACTGTTGAGTAGACTTCAGGATGTACATGTTTATAGAGGGGCCACAGATATATCAGATCACTTTCTAGTTGTAGCTACATGAGAGTAAAAGGTAGATGGGATACAAGGAGAATAGAAGCATCAGGGAAGAGAGAGGTGAAGGTTTATAAACTAAAAGAGGAGGCAGTTAGGGTAAGATATAAACAGCTATTGGAGGATAGATGGGCTAATGAGAGCATAGGCAATGGGGTCGAAGAGGTATGGGGTAGGTTTAAAAATGTAGTGTTAGAGTGTTCAGCAGAAGTTTGTGGTTACAGGAAAGTGGGTGCAGGAGGGAAGAGGAGCGATTGGTGGAATGATGATGTAAAGAGAGTAGTAAGGGAGAAAAAGTTAGCATATGAGAGTTTTTACAAAGTAGAAGTGATGCAAGGAGGGAAGAGTATATGGAGAAAAAGAGAGAGGTTAAGAGAGTGGTGAAGCAATGTAAAAAGAGAGCAAATGAGAGAGTGGGTGAGATGTTATCAACAAATTTTGTTGAAAATAAGAAAAAGTTTTGGAGTGAGATTAACAAGTTAAGAAAGCCTAGAGAACAAATGGATTTGTCAGTTAAAAATAGGAGAGGAGAGTTATTAAATGGAGAGTTAGAGGTATTGGGAAGATGGAAGGAATATTTTGAGGAATTGTTAAATGTTGATGAAGATAGGGAAGCTGTGATTTCGTGTATAGGGCAAGGAGGAATAACATCTTGTAGGAGTGAGGAAGAGCCAGTTGTGAGTGTGGGGGAAGTTCGTGAGGCAGTAGGTAAAATGAAAGGGGGTAAGGCAGCCGGGATTGATGGGATAAAGATAGAAATGTTAAAAGCAGGTGGGGATATAGTTTTGGAGTGGTTGGTGCAATTATTTAATAAATGTATGGAAGAGGGTAAGGTACCTAGGGATTGGCAGAGAGCATGCATAGTTCCTTTGTATAAAGGCAAAGGGGATAAAAGAGAGTGCAAAAATTATAGGGGGATAAGTCTGTTGAGTGTACCTGGTAAAGTGTATGGTAGAGTTATAATTGAAAGAATTAAGAGTAAGACGGAGAATAGGATAGCAGATGAACAAGGAGGCTTTAGGAAAGGTAGGGGGTGTGTGGACCAGGTGTTTACAGTGAAACATATAAGTGAACAGTATTTAGATAAGGCTAAAGAGGTCTTTGTGGCATTTATGGATTTGGAAAAGGCGTATGACAGGGTGGATAGGGGGGCAATGTGGCAGATGTTGCAAGTGTATGGTGTAGGAGGTAGGTTACTGAAAGCAGTGAAGAGTTTTTACGAGGATAGTGAGGCTCAAGTTAGAGTATGTAGGAAAGAGGGAAATTTTTTCCAGTAAAAGTAGGCCTTAGACAAGGATGTGTGATGTCACCGTGGTTGTTTAATATATTTATAGATGGGGTTGTAAGAGAAGTAAATGCGAGGGTCTTGGCAAGAGGCGTGGAGTTAAAAGATAAAGAATCACACACAAAGTGGGAGTTGTCACAGCTGCTCTTTGCTGATGACACTGTGCTCTTGGGAGATTCTGAAGAGAAGTTGCAGAGATTGGTGGATGAATTTGGTAGGGTGTGCAAAAGAAGAAAATTAAAGGTGAATACAGGAAAGAGTAAGGTTATGAGGATAACAAAAAGATTAGGTGATGAAAGATTGAATATCAGATTGGAGGGAGAGAGTATGGAGGAGGTGAACGTATTCAGATATTTGGGAGTGGACGTGTCAGCGGATGGGTCTATGAAAGATGAGGTGAATCATAGAATTGATGAGGGAAAAAGAGTGAGTGGTGCACTTAGGAGTCTGTGGAGACAAAGAACTTTGTCCTTGGAGGCAAAGAGGGGAATGTATGAGAGTATAGTTTTACCAACGCTCTTATATGGGTTTTGAAGCGTGGGTGATGAATGTTGCAGCGAGGAGAAGGCTGGAGGCAGTGGAGATGTCATGTCTGAGGGCAATGTGTGGTGTGAATATAATGCAGAGAATTCGTAGTTTGGAAGTTAGGAGGAGGTGCGGGATTACCAAAACTGTTGTCCAGAGGGCTGAGGAAGGGTTGTTGAGGTGGTTCGGACATGTAGAGAGAATGGAGCGAAACAGAATGACTTCAAGAGTGTATCAGTCTGTAGTGGAAGGAAGGCGGGGTAGGGGTCGGCCTAGGAAGGGTTGGAGGGAGGGGGTAAAGGAGGTTTTGTGTGCGAGGGGCTTGGACTTCCAGCAGGCATGCGTGAGCGTGTTTGATAGGAGTGAATGGAGACAAATGGTTTTTAATACTTGACGTGCTGTTGGAGTGTGAGCAAAGTAACATTTATGAAGGGATTCAGGGAAACCGGCAGGCCGGACTTGAGTCCTGGAGATGGGAAGTACAGTGCCTGCACTCTGAAGGAGGGGTGTTAATGTTGCAGTTTAAAAACTGTAGTGTAAAGCACCCTTCTGGCAAGACAGTGATGGAGTGAATGATGGTGAAAGTTTTTCTTTTTCGGGCCACCCTGCCTTGGTGGGAATCGGCCGGTGTGATAATAAAAAAAAAAAAAATTTAAGGACCTTCAATGAAATAAGTTCCTTTGTTCAAATTCATTGGGTTATCCTAGGTTTAGGTAAGGCTTGTCAGGAAACAGAGCAAGTGTTTCCTGGCACGTTAAATAACAACTGAACAAGTATATATGACCATAACGTCTATGTGCCCTCAGACACATTGTAGAAATTTAAACATCTCTTTACAAAACCACTTTCCTAAATAAAAGTTCTTATGGTATTTCTTAATTAACAGCTGTATTAAATCTTAAAAAAAATTTCACGTGACCAAAAATATCACATTTTACCTGGATGAATAAGAAAAAATTTTCTTTACACCATTTTAATACAAAATTAAAAAAGAACAGCAAAATAATAACAGATTAACAAATACACAATTTAAGATATGTACACAAGTGTACAAAGACAAACAATAACAATATGACATTATTAAAGTAAGGCATAAAGCTCACGAGGGGTCAAGAAGAAAAACTCTATATAAATATTTTTGTGACGGTTGTTTAAAAGCTTAAAATCATGGTTCTATGTAGTCAAACACAACTATTAGACTGCACCGGCATGTGGGTAGGTCATGGGCGAGTAACTGGGTATTTGTGAATAGACGGGTACGTAAATTGTGGGTGGGCAAGTTTGTAAATTGTGCACGGGTGAGAGTGGGCGAGGCTATGTATTTGTTTCAGTGGGTGGGATGGACATCCACTGGTGTGGGCGGCTACGCCCTCAGACTAGAGAGCAGCTTCGCCCTCAGACTAGAGAGCAGCTTCGCCCTCAGACTAGAGAGCAGCCTTGCCCTCAGACTAGAGAGCAACCCCGCCCTTAAGTTTGGCATCCCAAAACACACTGTTGTACAGGTTAAATTTACTCTGCTTACCTTGAAGAGTTTTAGAATAGTGATTTTTTCACTGTCGAAAACGTCTGTTACTGTGATCAAGAATAACCACAAAGAGCTTTAATTTGTACGATTGTCACTTTTAGTGCTGGGAACATGAAGTTATTTGTAGGCCATTTTCTCTAAATGGAAAAAAAAATATCAATTTTTTTTCCATGTAAGAGGAAATAGTTATAATATATATATATATATATATATATATATATATATATATATATATATATATATATATATATATATATATATATATATATATATATATCTGTTCACATTTAAGCCGCCTTGTCAACATTTGAAAATACAAAAACAAAATTAGGGAGGCAAAACTGATAGGGAATGACTTTTTTTGTCGAGAAAATCTGGTTACAATAACATGCGTTTTGCTATTTATAAAGGATAGAGCTCTCACAATTCAACGCTGAATAGTTCCCATGAGTTTAGCGCTTTATATAAATAGTGTTAGCTACTCCATATTATTTCCTCGGTATCCTTCGCTTGCCTGTATTTCAATAGGATCAGTAATGATCACAGGGATGTTCTCGGATGGGTATCCCTTGGGTGGTCCATAATCGGCCTCAGCAGGACCGTAGGCTGGTTCAATAGGTCCATAGGCGGGTTCAGGAGACTTGTAGACGTCATGTTCTGGGTACTTAGGAGCATGGTTATACTCCCAGTAATGCTCCCCATAGCCGTCATACGTGTCCGACCATTTCACCTGCAAACGTGACAAGCTCAAGTTAAAACCTCGGACTTTCAGAAGATATTTTTTCTAATACAACCAGGATAGTTCAACATATCCAAAATGTGATTTATTTCCACTGAAGTCCTTTCACAGGATGTGACCCACAGCTAGTGGGTAAGTACCTATTTACTGTTTGCTGAGCGTGGGAAGCAACTGTAAGACACACACATACACACACATATACAAATTCATACACACACACACACACACACACACACACACAGGAAAAAAACAACCGTTAAGGACCAGGTAATCAGGCTAAGGAAGGAAGGAGGAGAGACAACAAGAAATGACCGTGAAGTATGTGAGGAACTCAACAAGAGATTCAAAGAAGTGTTCACAGAGGAGACAGAAGGGGCTCCAGAAAGACGGAGAGGTGGGGTACACCACCATGTGCTGGACACAGTACACACAACCGAGGAAGAAGTGAAGAGGCTTCTGAGTGAGCTAGATACCTCAAAGGCAATGGGGCCAGATAACATCTCTCCATGGGTCCTGAGAGAGGGAGCAGAGGCACTATGTGTACCCCTAACAACAATATTCAATACATCTATCGAAACAGGGAAATTGCCTGAGGCATGGAAGACAGCAAATGTGGTCCCAATCTTTAAAAAAGGAGACAGACATGAAGCACTAAACTACAGACCAGTGTCACTGACATGTATAGCATGCAAAATCATGGAAAAGATTGTCAGGAGAAGAATGGTGGAACATCTAGAAAGGAATGATCTCATCACCAGCAGCCAACATGGTTTCAGAGATGGGAAATCCTGTGTCACAAACCTACTGGAGTTCTATGACATGGTGACAGCAGTAAGACAAGAGAGAGAGGGGTGGGTGGATTGCATTTTCTTGGACTGCAAGAAGGCTTTTGACACAGTACCACACAAGAGATTAGTGCAAAAACTGGAGGACCAAGCAGGGATAACAGGGAAGGCACTGCAATGGATCAGGGAATACTTGTCAGGAAGACAGCAGCGAGTAATGGTACGTGGCGAGGTGTCAGAGTGGGCACCTGTGACCAGCGGGGTCCCACAGGGGTCAGTCCTAGGACCAGTGCTGTTTTTGGTATTTGTGAACGACATGACGGAAGGAATAAACTCCGAGGTGTCCCTGTTTGCAGATGACGTGAAGTTGATGAGAAGAGTTCATTCGATCGAAGACCAGGCAGAACTACAAAGGGATCTGGACAGGCTGCAGACCTGGTCCAGCAACTGGCTCCTGGAGTTCAATCCCACCAAGTGCAAAGTCATGAGGATTGGGGAAGGGCAAAGAAGACCGCAGACGGAGTACAGTCTAGGGGGCCAGAGACTACAAACATCACTCAAGGAAAAAGATCTTGGGGTGAGTATAACACCAGGCACATCTCCTGAAGCGCACATCAACCAAATAATTGCCGCAGCATATGGGCGCCTGGCAAACCTCAGAACAGCATTCCGACATCTTAATAAGGAATCGTTCAGGACCCTGTACACCGTGTACGTTAGGCCCATATTAGAGTATGCGGCACCAGTTTGGAACGCACACCTAGCCAAGCATGTAAAGAAACTAGAGAAAGTGCAAAGGTTTGCAGCAAGACTAGTCCCAGAGTTAAGAGGTATGTCCTATGAGGAGAGGTTAAGGGAAATCGACCTGACGACACTGGAGGACAGGAGAGATAGGGGGGACATGATAACGACTTACAAAATACTGAGAGGAATTGACAAGGTGGACAAAGACAGGATGTTCCAGAGACTGGACACAGCAACACGGGGACACAGTTGGAAGCTGAAGACACAGATGAATCAAAGGGATGTTAGGAAGTATTTCTTCAGCCACAGAGTAGTCAGTAAGTGGAATAGTTTGGGAAGCGATGTTGTGGAGGCAGGATCCATACATAGCTTTAAGCAGAGGTACGATAAAGCTCATGGTTCAGGGAGAGTGACCTAGTAGAGACCAGTGAAGAGGCGGGGCCAGGAGCTTGGACTCGACCCCTGCAACCTCAACTAGGTGAGTACAACTAGGTGAGTACACATAAACACACACACACACACACACACACACACACATAAACACACACACACACACACACACACACACACACACACACACACACACACACACACACACACACACACACATACACAAACTCATACACACACACTCATACACACACACACTCATACACACACACACACACACACACACACTCATACACACACACACTCATATACACTCATACACATACACACGCACACACACACACACACACAGGAGCTTGGACTCGTCTATAATAAATTCAAGAAATCAAGGATATACAGTAAATACCGTGAGGTGTGTATCTATTTTATGCATTAAAGTACTGTAAACTGGTGACACGAAGCCTTAACGACCTTCTTGTAGAAGACAGACTGTTGAGCCAATTAACCAAAAAATAAAAATATAGTCTTTTAATTTAGATGTGAAGGTTGCCCTTACCCTGGTGCGGAAACGATGGTCCTTGGCTTGCTCAAAGCGAGAGATGAAGTGGTGAGGGTTGCCTCTGTTCCAGCCGAACTCATACTCCTTATGCCCGGGCACGTTCACGTACTCGAAGAACCCTTCAGGTTGCTTGTACCCTCCTTGAGGATACCCCTGGGCACTGCCCATCACACACAACAGTACCGCAACAACCTGCAAATGAAGTTAGTTTAAACGTTAATAAGGTGTTAAAAATGCCACAAATTCGACATGAGTAAATATGGATGTGTTGTTTAATCAAAGAATATTTTATATATAAATGCGACAAAATATTCTCTATCAAGCTCAGTTTCTGTCATGTATTATTTGCAGGAAAAAAACATGGAGGAGTATTATAACAGCTTACCACTAAGGCTGTCTTCATGATGGTAACACAAAAGATACTCCAATATACTAAGTAGAGCAGAAGTAAACTGAAGCAACAATACTTTCTCTCTACTCCAATACAACTGAAATTTTATACTCAAGTTTCTCGCATTTATACTTGGTCTTGCGAAAGTTGCCAAGTTCCACAACGTAACGAAAATTTCTTTAACTTTTATTTTTGCAGTCCGTTTTTTATATCGTATCATCTAGATTTATAATAATTTTTATATTTATTTATTGCATTACAATGAAACCTGACACAATAAACCCCTGGAGAACACAAAGAAGGTTCAATATTCACACCAGAAAGTGTGAAAGTGTATTCTGAACTTTCTCCAGGAGGGCTATGTGGAACGGAGAGTCACGTGTTCCAATTACCTAATTATAGTTTTCTCCATAAAACTCTAAGATTATAAAGGTATCCCAGAAGTTTTATTTCTTTATAGATGAAGTTTTTGGCCTCCAGCCATGATTAAATTATAATTCCCGCCATAACTCTTGTTATTTACACCCATTCATATTTTTCAGTCCAGCTTAAATAATCTTAAAGCAATCAGCTTACGCTATTATTATTTAATAAGAGCATATTGTTTCATAAAAAATATGTATACATTCAATAAATAGGTCACTTTAGCTTGAAGTAAATAATTAGTTATAAAAATGTGTTTAATTTCAAAATTTTTGAGGCAGGCAAAACAAATATTGGAACAGAACCAGCTACTTATTTTAATCTTATATCTTGCTGCTGATTTTGAAATATGAGAGCAAAAATGGCTTTGACTTTTTTGGGATTACACGAGGTAAAACTCCAGGTTAAATCTACATAAACTGTCATTGTAGGTCTTTAATAACAATGATGTGATCATTCCAACGATTGTATTACAATAATAGTCTGTCCATAGTACCGTAGCTCGATCTCTAGCGCACTCAGTTCACACATTGAGGTCCGTGGTTCGATCCTCAGTACGGGTGGAAACATGTGGACGTGTTTCCTTAAGACACCTGCTGTCCATGTTAACCTAGCAGTAAAATAGGTACCTGGGTGTTAGTAGACTGGTGTGGGTCACATTCTGAGACAAAATTTACCTAATTTGCCCGAAATGTTCTACATAACAAGGGGCTTTCTATATAGTAGTATGTCATTGATGTCAGTTAGACCTGTATACCTTGTACATGTAATTATAGAAATAAAGATTATATATTATAATATATATATATATATATATATATATATATATATATATATATATATATATATTTTATATTATATTATATTTATATATTATATATATATATATATAAAATGTTTACGTTGATGAGATACAACGGGTTTAGTCAAATGGAAATTCAGCAGTCATATACCTACTGTACATCACTTGACATCAGAAATATTAAATATTTATTACCCAACATCTGCCCCTGACATTACATAAGAGGTGATGTAAGGTTGTACGTCGAGTATATATGTAGTAGTATGTAGTAGTATCTTATTACTGGCATTATGTCCACTTTCATTTTTTGGTTAGTAAAGCTTATATGTAGATTTTTGGAACGAGATTTATTATTATTATTATTATTATTATTATTATTATTATTATTATTATTATTATTATTATTATTATTATGTCATGTTTATGAAGCACTCAGATGAAAACATAGTTGAGATTACCACAGAGTTTCATAATATGCCATCTGTAAATTCTTGGCTATATTTATTCAAAGTTTATTCTCTATAAGGATTACAATGCGGGGTTTACAGATTTTGGTTATTGTGTGGTTTACATATATAAAATACTAATTACTTTAAGAACCTTGAGATATTGTATACTTTTTGAAAGCAGCTCACGGCTTATTCAGCTTTCTTTTTTTTCTCTCTCTCTGTTCACCATTTTGTAAATTTAAGCTTTCTCTCTGTTGATGCTGACGGCGACATTTTCTCGGAGTTGTGTGGATTGCTAATGTTTAAAAAAATTTGTTTGTGCTAAATCGTGTTAATTGTTGTGTACACGCTCGTGTGCACATGCTCGTGTGCGCGCTCATGTATACTCGAGTGTGTATATACACTTAATGTACACACGCTTATGGACGTATTTGCACTTTTTCTACCAACTCAAGACAAAAAACCGCATAGCCAAGAAAATAATTGCAAAACACGCACACAACTCTCTATACACGCGTATAATTGTTAATAAATACAAATGCATTTAAACACTCGGATTTACACACACACATAGAGTCATAAAGTTGTCAGGCAGTGGAATAGAATAGAAAGTGATGTAGTGGAGGTGGGAACCATACATAGTTTTAAGGCGAGGTTTGATAAAGCTCATGGAGCAGGGAGAGGGAGGACCTAGTAGCAACCAGTGAAGAGGCGGGGCCAGGAGCTAAGACTCGACTCCTGCAACCACAATTAGGTGAGTACACACACACACACAAGTATAGAAGTATCATGCCCGAAGAGAGAGAGATTTTGAGCTGCGTATTTTCGAAGTAGTTAGCTACCAAATCATAATGGGTCTCACGACCATCATTATATTCACCAATCACTATCCTCATTATTATCGCCAACACTATCACCACAGTTACCCCCAACACCACAGTCGCTACTAGAAAAGAATTTATTCGATTTATTAATCTCGGTGAGCTAATTACCCAGGATAATCCAACAAAGCCAGGCAGTGTGGTTTATTTACGTTGGTATTCCATAACATTTGAATAACACCTATTCATTGCTAGCTAAACAGGGACGGGAATAACTATGAATCTAATGCTGCCCAGGATGCCACCCGCAATGTTAGTTAATAGGTTTTTAAATCCTATCTACTTCACGAGGGTTATTAGTGGTGCACGTAAGCTTTTTACCACCATATTAGAATACATCTTGAGATTAAACTCTCAGCATATACGAGTATACACTGAGATCAATACACTTCTCTGTGTATATATCCCATAACAGTCAACGCCCAGCAGGTACCTAGCTACCGCTAGCTAAACAGGGTCAACAGGAATAAAGAGAATCACCCATATATCTCGCTCTGCCCAGGTTGCCAACCACAACCCTTAATGGATACCCAGATAAATATTTACACTTAAGTGAACAGGTTCAGCAGGTGGAAGATTTACTCATGCTTCTCCCCTGGGACTCGAACTATGATACTTTCTCTTATAATAATAATAATAATAATAATAATAATAATAATAATAATAATAATAATAATAATAAATATTTATTTCTACATGTACATGGTATACAGTCGTAGCTGACATCAAGGACATAATACTATATAGAAAGCCCCTCGTTATGCAGAACATTTCGTACAAATTATGTCAATTTTGTCCCCAGGATGCGACCTACACCGGTTGGCTAACACCCAGGTACCCATTTTACTGATAGGTGACCAGAGATAGCAGGTGCCTTAAGGAAACACGACCTAATGTTTTTACCCGTACCGGGGATCGAACACTGGACGTCAGTTTGTGAGCTGAGCGCACTACCAATCCAGCTACTGAACACTTTACTGCTAAATTACGAGTAACCAGCTACAGAGCCTTTAAACAATAAAATGAGTGTGGGCAAACTGTGTTTACCTATACTGTTTGTGTAATATGTAAACACATAATTACTCAACGCCGCCTCTCCCTCACCAACATCCTCATCACACCAACCTCCTCCCTCACCAACAGTTTCCCATCCAGGGGCAGTACTTCTACGTCATAACTTTCTTTAAGTTTAACATTGTGCTGTGAAAGCCTGACTTACTGCTCTTTCTGCCAGAGAGAGAGAGAGAGAGAGAGAGAGAGAGAGAGAGAGAGAGAGAGAGAGAGAGAGAGAGACAGACAGACAGACAGACAGACAGACAGACGGACAGACAGAACATATATACTAACCTTTGTCGGCACTGGCTAGATACCTGGCCGAGTGGAGAAGGTACTACTTACCTTGATGCGCTACTCCTAATTAATAAATGAAAGGCTTCCCTGTATAACACAGACATAAATTTGAAATAGTGTTGTAATGGTATTATTAGCATTTCTCCTCCATGCACGAATCATATTTTTAACACTTCCCTTCCTCTCCGGGCTTCCCTCTCCGCATTTCTACACAAACAGTTATAACATCATAGAGATACGATAAAGCTCGTGGATCAGGATGAGAGTAAACCTAGTAGTGACCAGCGAAAAAACGGGGCCAGGAGCTGCCAGTCGAACCCTGCAACCACAAATAGGTGAGTACAGAATAACAAACCAATTAGGCTCGTGTGAAAATCACACCGTTGTCCAAATCAGTCCGGTTCCACCAAACATTTTCTCTCTCAAGACTCAGAAGCTGGTGATATCAAGAGCAATTATTGTGAAGTTTCTAGTGATCATTATATCTTGTCAGCTTTCTTAAGAGTGCTGTGTTGTGATGGAGCAGTTAGTTGCCTCTTATGTCTAGTTTTTTCATGGGAAGAGAGAAAAATAAATCCTTTATTTCTTTGTACAATAGAATGTGTAGTTTACTTGTAGAAAACAGCTACCTTGCATGAGCATTTCGGGGGGGGGGGAGTGATTTTTCAATTAAAATTAATAATGTTTTCTGCTTCGCAAAAGACTTGTGTTTTGAGAAGAGTATTTGTGATACTGGAATGAAGTCAGTGTTGTAGTATGGATATTTTATTAAGGACAAGCTCGGTTACTAGCCTTTTTTTTTTTTTTTAAGCGTGAAGTTCTTTAATAAAATATCCAGACAGCTGTAGCGTCCACTTAATAAAATATCTATACTTCTGTATTCTTGACTGCTGGTGTACAGGTTACACTCACCTTAATAATCCCTTTGTATTAGATGGGCTTTAATAAACTCCATTAACCAATCAACCATCCATATACTATTATGACTATACTCTCATCCAAAAAAAAAAAAAAAAAATACAGTAAAAAATAGAAACTGATTTCGTAGAAAATGTTGCAATATGATTCGGTTCTTCATGACCCGCTAACCAGACTGAGAGTCGAAGACCTAAATGATTTTTTTATGAGCGAGAAAGAATTTGGTAGACTCAGACCTATCTGATATTATCCTGACACCAAATGACTTCGAAAAGGCAATAAATGACATGCTAATGC